AGTCGAAAAGGAGGCAGAGCTGTTGAGAAATGCTAGGAGCTAACTGGGCGCTAACCGTATCATTCAAATATATTGAATGTCGCAATGTTGGCAAAGAGAGGAAATGACGTAAGATTTGCGCATGCGGGGTACCGATCGGGTTCCGGTACGGATCGGGTAGTGACAATACTCTCTACCTCAAGAAGTGCTCTCACTGACTTACCGGGTTAAAGAAAGACTGCACCACCTTGTGGTACAATTAGGCATTACACACAAGTGTGGCCACACAACAACAGATGTTTCGGGCACAAACTCATAGCAGCTGTTTCTTCACGTTCTGCTGATAGCTTAAGCTCATTTTGGGAGGCTAAGACATTTTTAAACAAAATAATTTGTAAAAACATTTAAGAAAGATAAAATAAAACCAAAGGTTGGTGCAGCTCTAATATATTCTTCATGCTGTGACTTCAGATCTCACACTGTGATCTGAACACTTTAAATGAGAGCTGTGTTCATGAGAGACTTTCTAACAGCTTGTATGGCGTCACCTTTGATGGCGATGAGCTCTCTGAGCTGAGCCAGCTGGCTCTGGTCTGCCTTTTCTTTCTCTAACACCGCTACGTGAGCTTCCACCTGGACGAGCCTCTCCTGCAGCTGGCTCACACTCCTCAGGGCCTCCACTGCCTCTGTGGATGGTGTGGAGCTGCTGGACTCTGAAGCTGGAGGTTTACCCGCTGAGTCTGCTTTAACACCAGCCTGTGGAGGCGCGTACAGAGGCATAAAAACATGGAGCTGGGAGTGAACAGCAGAGGTTCTTCAATAATAAACAGACCGGTGAAGATCAAATTAATTCCAAAACAGAGACATGTGTGATATGGATGGTTCAAATAAAAACATTCAGCAGAGCTGGAATTTTTATTTTTTTCTCTTTGATGCCAAAGAAATCAGATTCCCATGAACATCTGCCCCAACTTTATCTAAATTTGATTAAAGAACCTTCTTTAAAAGCAAAATTTCATGTCACATCCGCCTGTTTGGCTTTTTGTCTCTTGTTTCTTGATAAATAATCACCTGCTGAGGCCTCAGCTCGGCTCTGCACACAAACATGGCTGCTTTAGGACTCTAAACATCTGGCTGTAAGCTCGTCTGTTTCAGCTGAGCTGCAGGTCTCTGATGAAACACAAGTTTCTGTTTCTTTCTCACCTTCTGGAATTTTTCTGTCTCGC